CCGCATGGACGATCGTAATTCAACACTTTCCTCACATCATGAAATTGGGATATTGTGTTCATGAAGGAAACTTGCTATTGTCAACTTATTAAAGAAGGTAACAATAGAGGAAGTTCATAAGAAGTCCAAGTCTCTAATCAAGTACTAAAAGAACTCGCACGTGGTTGTGGCCTACTTTGAAAAGACAGGAAAAGTGCTATGCTGAAAATCAAACAATATATAAGTTTCCATCTGACACTTGTAGGGCGGGCTTTTTGAAGTCACTGGAGTCTCCTTTGAAGAACAGAGAAGCTTTACAAAAGAGTTACCGCCACTGAGGTTAAAATGAGTAGAGAAAAAACAAACAAAGGTGTTAGACGAAGATGACTTTTTCCTAGATGTGCAGAGCGCGTTTCGCGTGTTGGAGTCAGTTGGCCGTGCTATTTTCACGGCTGAGTCAGACACTGCTGTTCATGGTATCTTCAAGGTAACGAGACAAGTCGAAAAGGCCCTTCTTGTCTCTGCCTTGGTTACTAAAGAAAAGAAAAAAGCAGCAGAAAACCGGCGTGAGCGACGACTTTTTTGACGTCAAGCACACATTGGGCCGCGAATTCGCTTGACCCGACATGATTGAGTAATGAAGATGTATGCCATGCAATGGATAACATCGAAGTGGCAAGGAGGTGAGGTCTTGATGATGAAAAAGTACATTGCAATCTCGCCAAATAAAAAACGCCGTCAAGTGCGTGATCAAGAAGCAAACTGGATGATACGGCAAGGCATATTCATTCATACACGTGGTGGCAAGAGGTGTGTGCATCTTAGCCCCTGACACCAATTGCCTGCGTTCTACTTCAAGTTTCGCCGTATACAGCTGCGTGCGAACGAGACTGGTCAAAGTTCGGCTCTGTCCAAAACAAAAATAGAAACAGGCTTAAGAAATGAGCAGTCAAAAGCAGGTTTTTGTACGCACCAACCTCAATCTGAAATTCTTCTTCAACGGATGATATGGCTCAAGCTGGGAGTCAGAGTAGCACCAATTAACCTACTACTTTGGAATATGCTCTTGTTTGAAAAATAAATCTAGTCAGCAATTTGGTCATTGGCCAATCGTTGTATGTTTTACGTATTTTGGGTTCTGCTTGTCATAGCCACAGCTGTATCCTTAGAAAGGAGGTGTGATGAGACAATAAATAAAAAAATTCATGTAATCATGTATTGCTTTCACTTCAGTGGATAACATGCATCGTAGTTCATAAATCATAATCTTACCGCGCTCAAAGTTATGCACTGGCCGGAGCAGACTTCGACGCTTGAAAGTATATTTTGAAAGCAACTTTTCAATGACTAACATTGTTCTATTGTGTGTAGGAGAATCTATGCCTTATTGTTTGGGAAACATGTTACAGGTGATGTAAAGACGGGCTTCTATTGATGTCATGATACATTACAGAAACAAACTTCAAGCGGCAGCATTATTTATGGCTCCTCTACTTCCTACGTTTTTTGTTTTTTTTTATTATTTCGATATCACTTGCCGAAAAAGCTTTGCAAGATTACTACGTGAGCCATGACGTCTAGCAAAAAAAGTTTTCGTATTTTTTAGCGTAATGCAAGCTGCATCTACACAAATGGAGGGGCACACTACCATAAAGTACAAAAAGCGGGCTATTGAAAATACAAACATCAATGAAATAATGAAAACACTAAGAGACAAGGATAGAAACCGCACTTCTATCAAGTAGCAACGGTCATTAACTCACATATTCTTCAATGCCTACGCTCTCTTTCTCCCAACTTTTTAAACCAAAAAAGACACACAAAAAGCTTTTGTTAATGATTTGTCCGTTTTTTAACGTTCCGTGTCTATGGAAGTTTTCCAGCAGCTGGACTGTGTTTCTGCCCTTTCTTCGATAAAAAACAAAGTTCGTTACTTCATTAAATAAATTATATATTATTTATGTGATTAATAAAGTTTCTTGCTACTTGAAAAAAAATTTTCTCCCTGTCCTTGTCAATTGGTGTGTTTATTGTTTCATGGGTTCTTGTTAGACAAGGGCTTATACCGCTGTCTTACTATTTCTCTTCTTTGTGAACTAAACAGACTAATATACCGGCCTCGTTAGACAAAATGCAACCCACTTTGTTGGTCCACGTATATAATGCATACAAAGCTCGAACTCTGCGAACATGTGCCGCGAAAAAGAGTGGTGATAGAATGCGAAAGTTTGTGAACGTCACTTTACCCATATAATAATATAAAACCTGGAATAAACTTCCTGTTTGTGCCCACATCCACATAAGTCTAAGAATCGTGAAACCGAAAAATGGGATTTTAGGAGCCTGCGCCCTTTCTCTCAACGCAAAAACCAGGCACCAAGCAAGAAAGCAATAGTTTATTTCTTAATGACTTGTGTTCCCAGATAAACAAATGCCTCAGACTATCTCCCAGGCTGCTACTTTCGCTTGACGAACACTGGCTCAGGTGGACGTCGGCTCAGAAATTGCTTCCACCCGTGTTTTTTATTAGATAATATTAACTACTTTCCGCATTCTATAGCCACCACGACAAGCGCCACATTCTTCATAATCTTAAACTTTTTTGTGATTTGTAGTTCATTTATGCGAGCCGAAAAAATGGGTTTTAGTTTTTCTCACGAGCCCGGCATTTAATAGACTAGAATATTGTTAGACCGCTTGCTTGTTCTAGGAATCCAAATGAAACGATGCATGTCATGCCTATTTTTCGGTCCGACATAATCATTACTTTTCATTTGGTAGATAGTTGAAAACAATTATCTGAACAGTTTTGTTGATGCTTTAATAAAATGAATGTCTTTTTGCCGGTGTTTATACAAAAAACAAACCAGAAATTCTGTTTGCTTTTTTTTTCCAGAGCTCTAAAATCCCTATTCCCCGAAACGTTGCCCGTCCGTCCTTCCGCCCGTCCGTGCAATTGCCGCTAACTTTAGCTGGGAAATTGATTTCACGTAACTTATGCACAAAATCGGTTTCTCCACTAAATTTAGCGAGAAATTTAATGTGATCTGACCTTACGTCACAGGATGAACATACCAATTCAGTTTCCCAGTTGAATTTGGTGAAAAAATTGACATCACATGAGTTATACATCCACTCAATTTCCCAGCTAAATTTGGCAGGAAATGTGATGTCACGTAATATACAAACCGATTCGGCTTTCCTGATAAATTTGGAGGATACACTGATGCCACGTAAGTGGACGCTACATGCATTATACACCAATAAAGGTTCCCCTCTCAATTTAGGAAGACAACAGATAATTTAAAGTTCCACAATGCCTTCTATGCATTATAGGACTTCGAAGGTAAAGATCGCAACCATTGTTTTTTTTCAAACCCCACATTTGAACAAGTTTTATAACAGCTCTCGTATATTTTTTTAGGAGATTGAGTAGGCTTGTAAAAATTATAACCTCCTGATATTAATATTAAAGGAAGATAGTGATAACTGGGCAAAATGTCATCCGTAATTTATATTTGTAAAATTAGCCAATATTTATTTTAGCATGCCTTAGAATCCCCAAAACACAAGGGATATGTTAGAAAAGTGATTAGCAAGTGTTAATACTTAATTTTTTTTATTAAAAAAGTGACGGTGATAAGCACGACGGCATTAATGTGAAAAGACTTCACAAGCATAACAATCACTTGGGTGCTGCCTGCGTTTATCGAGAGCCATCCGATACCTGTCAGCATGCAAACTCAACACAGGATATTTGAGAAATGCACCCCATAGCAAGTCACCATCGGAGGAAGTGAATTGGGTAAAGCCTCCTAGAAGTACCTAGCTGTACCTTTCCGTAAACGATTGAGCCGTAGTAAATTCGGAAAGAAACTTAGGAGTTTTACACTCCAACACATATCAGAGCCCCATTACATATGCCATAATACCGCATTTGATTCAACGTCATTATATGATGCACAAAGTTGCGCTTACCAGAAGTCGCACTAAAAATTATATACTTTCATAAGCAGATGCGACAATGCTATTGAAATGCATGCTAGTATTAAAAAAAATATTGGGTTGAGAAAAAGAAACTCAAACCGTTTTTCTTAATAGAAAACGAAAAACATTCTCATTTGTTTATCTACTTATCCTGTTGACTGTAAGATGCATCTGCAGTTCCCAATTGAATTTATCTCAAAAGGATACGCATATCTGCACAGCTTCCACACGTAACAAAGACGGTAATGATGGGACCAAATCATTTCCTAGATTTAATCATAAAAGCAAGAGTGCAACGCCAAAAACTTAACACGGAGGGACACCAATATCTAGGGGATGACATCAAAGGTTGTGGAGCCCGATCGAACTTGAAGTGATCACTAGCTCAAAAAGTTATGCATGTACTGAACCAGGCAGCGTTTCAGCGCTTGCAAATACACGGTCAGTTGCGAAGTTGTCACTCCGAGGTTCAGCGGGAATCATCAGGAATCATTACGCACTTTCGCCATGTACCAAATTGCGCGTACTTTACTTGCTGGTTACACGGAGCGGTTACGTTTTAGAATCTCTTGGCGCCAGCCGCCTGACCCTAACAGCATTTTAACGTAAAAAATATAGAAATTGCGATATACATTGCGTTTTTGTACGAGCTTTCCTTTCCGCACCGTGCGCATGTGAAACATTTATTTTACAGAAAAATATGTGGGAATAATATTATACAAAATACCTGCAACAAGTTATGGTATATGATCGACAATACCTTAATGTTGTAAGTAAAAAGTGTGTCTCCTTAATAAATTAGAACGCAAAAAAGTGTTGTATCACGTTATACAGAAATGTATCGCGGTTTCCTTGTGACCCTTTAATTCCAAGACGCAAGTAGCGATCAAACGCCCACCCCTCCTTCCCTCCACTACGAGGGAAAATAGTTCACCGACTGACTCCCCCTTGAAAGCTATCTTACGCATCGATAGAAAACGACCGAGAATATACGACCATGTGCACCAAGATAAAAATGTAGTTTCTATACCAACCTCGTATTCGAGTGGAGGGAGTTCATTATGATGTAACTGCTGGTACGTAAGCCACCAACTCTAAAAAAAAGAAGATATATTTCATTTAAAGAACGCAACTTTTATAGTTGTTCGGCGTTTCTGAGTTTTATTTCGCATATAATATTTATAGAACCTACATAGAATCGTGATATGCTATCAATGCATGTCCTGTTACAGTTACGTAAATAAATAATATAGTTCATAACAAATAGTTGAGTTCTGAATTGCTCGCAAGAAACTAGGTTATCTGGAAGTTACTTACCACATCTAATGCTCTGTCACATGACTTATGTGGTAAAAAGAACGTATTTGAGCCATTGTTGCATGAAATCCAGCAGTTTTGAATGCTCATACCTGCATAACCCTGAAAGGGAATAAGATATAATGGAAACTTGTCGAAACTGTCTGGTGAAAATTTTTAAATAATATTCGTATTAAGTGTACGAAAATTTCTAACTGCCTTTCTTACCATGCAATTTGAGCCTATTATTGCCATCGAAATTAAAAACCGAATAGCATTTTTAATGCTGAGAATTGAAAACAGGAGCATGGGACAACATGAATTTGCAAACAGAGCTGATATGTATTTTACCAAGTTCAAGTTTACATAAAAAACAAAAAAAAAAAAACGCTCAGATCAAAATAAGACACTGATTACGGTGTTGACGTCACGCGTACCCCCAAGAAATGGCACTTATTGAACACACTAGTTATTCTCTTTAAGGCCAACGCGTTATAGTATTCTTGAAAACATTCATAAATACAAATAAAACAATTATAACGTTAGTCATAGCGTGGTCTTAATACCCCCAAGTTATAAAAATTACCCACCAATCAGCGTATTAGTATTAGTGCAAGTTTACGCTACCCTTTCATTACCTAGTACTGTATGTGCGAAGTAGTTGAAATTTTTACATGCGAATATCATTTTGGAGTCATTTCTACTTTCTGACGAAATAACTGAAATAAGATTGCGCATCTTAAGCACAACAAATAGATTAGTGATTACAATTATCTACAAGCACGTAGCCTGGAAGTGAGCTACATGCTTGGTATAGCTCCTCTAAATTTAAGGGTAGTCTACTTGGAAAAAAAAAAAGACTGCTGTACCTTTCGCAAAACAAAATAACGACAGCTAACTCTTAGTAAAAGACGAAAGCTTTAATTTTCTTTTTATTAGAACAGATACCATTTTATAGCTAGAGTTATCATGTGTTAGCATGTAATATCCTTGCTCAGGTGGAAGAGGAAATGCTCAGGTGAGGAAAGACCTCCTTAGCACACCTGTTTTAAGCATATTTTACATTCTGCTCTGTCAACCTGTGGAGCGGTTTGGCGATCGTAGCGAGGCTCTTGCCGAAACGTCGGTAGGAGGCACTATGCCTAATAATCTAATGAATTCAGGTTGACTTGGTGATTTTGGTCAATTCCGAATGCAGTCCGTTTTTTAGAGCGCAGCTCTTAGGCGCCCGTTTCCGGCTTCAGCGGCGTCGGCGTCGGCGTCGCCGTCGGCGTAACCAAGGTCACCCCAAGGTCACGTGACCCCAAGCTCAATAAGGGTGGCGATGTGGGTTAGTTGGTTCATACTGACGAAAAGGCAAACAGCGCACAGTAAACGGGGACTACAGGAAGTGCAAACAGGATAAGCGCGCACTCGAGGCGCGCAATGGGGACGCGCATCTCCAACAATATCATCTGGTGGCACAGAATCATAATGACAAAGGATGAAGCACGCTCAAGCACCTTGACGATGCTGTCGATCGTTTGGAAAGAAAAGCTTTTGCTGCGTGCCACAAAACAGTATTACACCAACTGTCAACACAGGCGTTCGTTGATACGACTAACGATGCCGAAATTTGGCCGTTTGCAAGACTTGTACTGCCATGCATGGTTCAATCTGCGTCGGCCTATGCACCCTAGATGGACACCGCTTGTCAGGCAATCAAGTCTGCACAATTTTCCCGCTCAACATCGGTGTTTTAGTTTTAACCGCGATGGGACAACCTGCCCGAACGTGCACTCTGACCACACATCGCCGGCAGGGAAATTACCAAGCGGGGCCAACTTTCGAAAGCGCTCTACGTGATTACGGGATCCAACACGTCGCAGCGTCACCATACCACCTGCATACGAACAGTGTCGTGAAGAGGGCCAAACACACCCCAGGAGAAATCTTTCTACGTGTGTGAGCATGTACCACACAGAATGGGATTACCACGTCGCAACGGCGGCCTTCGTGTTCAACATGTCCGGTGAAGAAACAACTGGTGCATCTCCTTTTAAGCTCCTTTATGGACGACTTCCAACAGTGCCCGAAGAGTCGCCAATAGACACGGCTTGGACTCGCTGATGCCAAGAGTACTACAGCAACAATTTCTCGAGGCGATCTTGCGAGACTCGAGAACGTGGCCGGCTCGCTATTAAACCCAAGCAGTCGAAGGTCGCAAATCATTTTAATTCGAGCAGGTCAGCTCCGCAAATTGAACCAGGTGTCCTTCTACTGCATAGTAGTCACTTCAGGTGTCCATAGCGCTAAACAAAACGGCGTCTTCCATGGCACTGCAGGCATTTAAGAATACGTAGGCAGCTTGGCCCGGTTACTTAGCACCTCAAATAAGTCTTCAGGCTTGGAGGAAGAGGAAGACGCATAGTTATCACTTCTCATCGCAATGAGATGAAACCTTTCGTGACGTGTCATGAGCACCTAAACTCTGTCCGAGACCGACACTCTACCGGAAGGGAGAGGAATGGGTGTAACGGGCAATAACACGACCAGACAGAAATATGAGAGGAAAACTACTACATTGCACTGAGGAATGCTTGAAATAAAAATACTTAAATAGCACGATCTGTGTTAATTGTAACAATATATATATTAAAAAGCTGAACGTACTGTATGTTCTTTAGTAAATGTCTTTATTGAATATTTTTGCAATATTAAAAGTAGATTTGAAATTATAAATTGTTTAGTTTTAGTAACAAAATAAACAAAGATTCAATGATTTTAGACCAAATTTTTTAATCATAAGTGAGTTTTGTATTTTTACAAGTAATGAATACTGCTAGTTTTCATACCTGCATTATTCAGATAAGACCAGTAAACCGTGTTGTACACTTGATAGAACCCGGGCTATCTCATATATTCAATATTTCTTTAGCCATGAACGCCTTTCCAAAACAAATTAACAAAGCTAAGGTTGTAATAATGCATAGAAACGTAAGTGCCAAATGAATGAGGAATTAAACAGATATTTTAATACGTCCCGTTCATTTCTAGGGCGACCTGCAATAATGCTTCTAGGCGCTGCAGGAGTTCTCTGAATAAAGAAAGAGAGAAATTTCTAAATCTATTAAAACATACTTTAAACGTTGGTAACAAGGTCACTAATTAATACTTCACAGGTCGGGTTTGTGAAATACACGTCCACCGAAAGAAAGAAAGCGTATCTATTTTATGACACGACTCAAGAAATTCATTGAGGCTGCATTATTAGTCATAAAAGAAATTTATCTTTAACATTTCGTAATAAGAAAACGGGTTCTTGGTGTATTGATTGTCTTCTTAAATGTGTCAGATTTCCTAGATTCCAACATCTTTTAACGAAATGATATACTTACGGTTTTTGATTGAATGCTTTGCAGCTGATGAAGTCAAATATGGGGCATCGATTGCAATACGCCTCTTTTAATATACTCTCTTACAAAAACCTATCTCCACCAGGATACCGGAGGGTAGTATAGAGGGTTTTGTTTATATATATATATTTATATATATATATATATATATATATATATATATATATATATATATATATATATATATATATATATATATATATACGTAAACAATATTTTCAATTTTAATTCGGAATCAAAATTTGTAAATATCCCGATTACACAAACAAAACCAGGCACCTTATGGATTATAAAGCTGGTGTAGATTTAATTTACATCCAATAAACTTTCAAAAATCAAAAGCCGAGCTGTTTTGTTCCAAAAATAAACTAGTCACTTTTACAAAAGCCCTGATCATAAACTGAATCCCGATTGAGATTGTAAACTCTTTCAAGATTCTAGGCGTCGTTTCCTCCGCTTATTTCGTGGGGTAATCACATTAACTATATTGTCAAAGAGTTGTCGAAATCGTGGGAATGTTGTACCGTCATTGTTATACTTCACCGATAAACGTTACGTTTCTGGTTTCTAATTATTTTTTTTTATTTGCACCTACATTACTATTATTTATTTTAAATCCCAAAATCTATAACAAATCTTGAAAGGACACACGTGTCACAAAATAAAACATTAAGGTATATGTGCAATATCTCATTTCAGTATCACACACCTGACCCATTCACACTGTTGCAGTTTTGTTTTTAGACCAAACGCGGTGAAATGCTGCAACTTTAAAGGAACGTCCTTAGTGAACACAAATAAAAAAGGAAATGGTAGTGTGATTAAATGGTTGTAATATATGGTAACGTCATGTCTCGTTAATATGGACACCTCCGTTCCCGTAAAATATCGTCCATAATGTGAGTTCTCCATAATAACGAGACAAAAATGCACGTAAATTCCGGTTTGTCGCCGAATGTGGTGTCCTTATGTTGGGGTATCCATGTTAACGAGATCCATATTAACGAGACATGACTGCATACACATTTAGGACGATGTCAAGGAGGGTGTGCATGACGTCCTAGGACGACGATCAGGACGACGTCATGGAAGACGACGTCAAGAACGACGTCTAGGGCGACCTGTTGGACGACCTCTAGGACGACCTCAGGTACGACGTATAGGAGAACATGGCTAACGATGTCCTAGAGAACGACGTCAGAAATGACGTCTATGACGACGTCGAGAACGACATTAAAGGCGGTGTCTTGGACAACGTCAAGGGCGATGTCCCAAAGAACGGCGTAAAGAACACCGTCTATAATACCCTTTAAGTTGACCTCTAAAACGATCTCAAGGGCGACGTGTAGGACGACGTGGAGCACGACTTCAAAGGCAGCGTCTAGGGCGACATTGAAGACGACCTCTAGGACATCATAGGAGGCTATCAAGGTCGACGTCAAGGACGACGTAGAGGACGACGTCGATGACGACACCATAGAGGAAGACGTCAATAACAACATATAGGAGAACCTCTAGACGACGTCTAGAGAACCTCAAGACGTCGAACCTCAAGACGGCGTAAACAGGAAACGGTCCCCCGGTTCACCTGCTCAGCGGGCAAGGTGGAACTGCTCGCGATCATGGCTCGCGCAAATTTATTTTCGAAGTGAAACAACTCTGTTTACTGTCCGAATGTAGTACTGCAGCCGGTATGGAATTGTACCTTACTAGAGTTTTAGTATTGCT